TTCGTACGAACAAAATTAAGAGAAATTTAGGATAAGAATACGAACATGTTCTTGCATGCGGCTCATTATGTTCTAAAACTGTCATATACTTTACTGCATTGCTCGTGCCTTTCCAGACGTGTAAGTTGGCCATTCTAGAAGCACAAATGAATCCCCATACCATCAGAGAGGCAGGCTTGTCATTGTAAATKAGTTATTTTTGTGTTGGTTGCAGTTGCTCAGCCTGTGACGGCCATCTTGAATGGAACTGAAAATGTTCGATGTGCACGTTTAACAGCCCATTCCCTCCGTGCGATGATTAATATTCTGATAATTCACTTAACAGGTGACTCCTTTGACTGCTCTGAAGTTTGCTGAGCTTTCTGCGAAAGCTGGGATCCCAAAAGGCGTGATTAATATTCTCCCGGGCTCAGGTATAAGACACATCCTGACAGTTCACAGTTAACCATACACATTATTTTACTTSACRTCAGGGTATACAGAAACASCTTTTATGAGCTGAATAGCTGTGAGGAAATGGGGCRTATGTTACAGAAGGTTTAGTCTTGTGATGTGTTTGATGTATGTGTAACAGTGAAGCTGAGTTGGACTGAACCAGCTGAGGTAGGAGGAAGCAGAATGTAACAATTAGTTTTAATATCAAAATAAGCAATTTTTCTATTTAAGCCTAATGAACCTAAGAAATAAGGCCCAGTTTACACAATGCACTTTAAGTGAAACTGTAGCATTTCCTGTGGTTTTCATTTAAATTAAGTGTGATTTTAACTTCATCCAAAACCTAATTGTGTGAATGCTGACTCAGCATTGCATGGCTTCATTAAACTGTTTTTTTGTTTTGTTTTGTTTGTTGTTGTTTTGTTTTTCATGTCCACCAGGTGGCATGGTTGGACAGCGTCTGTCTGACCATCCTGACATCCGCAAGCTTGGCTTCACTGGCTCCACACCGATTGGCAAASAGATCATGAAAAGGTGAGATCCAACCATTAAAATAACGCTGAAGGTTTCATTTACAGCTCTTGGTTTTGTCCTGCAGCTGTGCACTCAGTAACCTGAAGAAGGTCTCACTGGAGCTGGGAGGAAAATCACCTCTGATYATCTTCAGTGACTGTGACATGGACAAGGCTGTCCGCATGGTGAGCAAACATGACTCAGCGAACATTTGTTACAGTTGACAAAAACAGTTTAGAGCCAGCTGTTGTCTCTAATGATAGGCCTCTCTCAAATTCATCCTCTTTTAATAAAATGTTTGAAAAACTTGTTTTTTTCTCATTATAATAGAGTTGTCTTCAGTTTACCGTTTAAATGTGTGTAGTATGTAAGATACGAACTGTTCAAAACRTTTCCACACAACTCCATTTCAAGCTTGTTGAAATGTTCCTTCAATCATGTTGAGATCATGGAAACTGTGGCAAAGTGTCTCAAAAACATCTATTTGTTATCTTTCTGTGCATGTAGGGTATGGGCTCTGTGTTTTTTAACAAGGGTGAGAACTGCATTGCTGCTGGACGTCTTTTTGTGGAGGAGTCCATACATGATGAGTTTATCAGCCGAGTGGTGGGTGAACTCAGACTCTATTGTCCTATAATAACATGAACACTGATTGTTAGACAAATGTTTTCCCTTTAGGACTTTAATTTAAGACAAAGACATCTCGTACTTCTTAAATGCAAATTCATCAAAATCTGTCTTAATATGGTTGAATTTGTCTTTTTTATATTCCCGCCTTATAACGTCCCAAGGTGGAGGAGATCAAAAAGATGAAGATTGGAGACCCTCTGGATCGCTCCACAGACCACGGCCCACAGAACCACAAAGCCCACATGGAAAAACTACTGGAGTACTGTGAGACAGGAGTAAAGGAAGGAGCCACACTGGTGTATGGAGGCAAGCAGGTTGACAGACCAGGTAAAACACCCAACATCCACCACTATGTTAGTACAGCCATTCTTTTTCATTTGGATAGATGGATGGATGGATGGATGGATGGATGGATGGATGGATGGATGGATGGATGGATGGATGGATGGATGG